TATCCCCGGGATGTGGCGCTATTATCTGCTGGCAGAGAGGAACTGCCGATGCACTCTCGGGATTACTTTTGCACCACGGCTTACGGCAGATTGCAGGTTCATTTTCTAGCATATGAACGGAGGCGCAGTGCTCAATACAATGGTGCTCGTTCAGTAAAGGCGGACGATTAATTTTCTACAACTGCATCATTTCTCCGTTTTACTTTTACACAGCAGTTCACGTGATCTACTTTTATTTCCATTAATGTTCTCTATAATATGATACTGCAAATAGAATAGTTTGACATCACCTTATAAACATCATACAATTAGCTTTACAAGCGCTAATAAAAATGTAGAGCTAGATTTTATTGTTGATGAAAATTTATCTCATTTTTGGCCATGGATAAATTGAAAATAAATAAATTAAAAATCCGGTCTTGTTAGAAAAAATTCACAAGACCTCAATTAATCTTTTTTTAAATTAATTTACTTTTAGTTAATAATTTCATTTTTTAATCATGAGTCTAAAAATTTCAGTTTTCTGTAATTATTTTAGAAGCTTTTACAAATTATAAAATAAAGAGTTGACTAAATCAACGTTTTTATAATCTGATTATGTGAAAGAACGTCAAAGAGGTGAAATAGTGCAAAAAGTGTTCTCATTTCCATTCCGATATAAAAAGAGCCGGTGGTTAATTTACGAGCGGAGCCATTATCAGGAGCGAGAGAGCGAGCGGCGGCAATTTTACAACTTTACGGCTGCTAGAATTTTTGGTGGATTTATTGCAAAATTATCTGCGCGCCGGTTAAATGGCTAGATAATTGGTCGAGTCTGTTCTCTTGCGTTTTCGGGCGCGCTGTTGGCACACGCTGAAGTTGAGTCGGCGGCGGATTCCACCGTGAAAGTTGCTCCAATTAAGGAGCAATTAGTTAATCGTTCTCGAGTGCAGCCGGCGCTTAGGGGTTGGAGTGCTTTTATACGTGAGCGCGAGTTAAGATGGCGATAAATTCATTCGATCCAAATATTTGTCTTCGATGTGCTGGATAAACAGGCGGAAAATGTGTATCACTTTCCACACGCCGCCTAATTAAATTGGCTTCCTCTGCTATGACGGAATATCTTATTAAAAGTTCAATCTGTCGTCGGCGACGGCAACTTTGATTTCGAGCAACTTTTAAAGCCGCTGCACCCGCGAGCGGATTGATTAATTATGCATGCGCAAAACGCGTTGTGTATTAAATTCAAATTTCGCCGCCCCGATCTGCTCGGCGCGGATCGCATTAATTTACGCTTTGTTCTTTGTGCCGAGATTTTTGCATCGCAAGCGAGCGAGCGAGAAGAACGGGGCGCGTGTTTTGTTGGTTTGCAGCGCACACCAGCAGCAGCAAAGGGTGGCCCTAAAGGGGTAGTTCGCGTCTCCCGCGAGATTGGAGTGGTGCTTGACATGGAAGGACGCCTGGAGTGCCCTCACCGCACGTACATTCCAAGATCCACCTCTCCTCTCGTGCGCTTCTTCACGAGTCATCTGCACTCCAGAATGCACGACCACCCCCGCCCACCCCCGTGCCACCCCTTTTTTGTATTCAAATTTGCTCGCCAGCCGGCCGACCGGGCCCGTTCCTTCCGCAACCCTCTTCCGACCCTGCCGGAACATGTGGCGGTTGAGCCTCTTTTCCGAAGGACCGTCCTCAATTTTGCAGATTGTTTTTCGCCGCCTTTGTTTTCGGCGCGCTCACATTTTTCCGCGTGCGACAAAAAGTAAATCTGCCGCTGGCCGTGGGCCGGAAAGGACAGGCCGCACATTGCAAAATATTATGAGCTCGCTTCACTTCAAAACCACCTCTGTATGTTTTTGACGTGAAGGAGCTTTGCACGGCAATGAATTTTATCAAAGTTTGGCTTAATACCCTGTATTTGCTTGTAAAATCTATTCAGCTAAAGCAGATTATATTTTAGACGAGCAAAAAAACTAGTGTTGAGATTTTTAGGGAAAAAGTTTTCAACCACTATGAAAGAGTTGCTGTTGAGAGGGAAATTTAATTTGGTCCTAGGAAACTGGCTTTTTTGTTAATTCCGACCAATATTAAAATTTCATGAAAAGTTCATCTACCGGACAAATTTTTTTTTTAAATGGAACGAAAGGAATTGGTGGAAAAAACGGCACCACCAAAATAGAATGGTTTAAGAAAATAACATGAAGATTAAGTTACTTTTAATGACAAGGGAGAAGTATTTTGAGTTTTCAATACAACCTAAAATACGCCGGAGAATATTCAAATGCTAAGTTAGCATCAGCTAATCCCATTAGCTTACATTTAATATTATTTATTCTTCTCAGTCGATACAAAAATTTGAAATTTGAAAGAGAAAAGAATGGGTTAGAATTAGCATGTGAATATCCCCAATTAATTTTTTCATCAAGCTTAAAAAATTAAAGTGTTATTTTATAGTTTCAAATTATTTTTAAATATTGAAAAAAATTTTGACAGACAAATTTATCTTCATTGAAAAAGTCTGAAAATGCATGACAAGACGCAGTTACTTCAACAGTATAATTTAGTAATTGTGAGTAAACATTTTAATTTCCATATTATGTATAGTAAAAAAGTTTTTAGTTAGTTTGATTGTTAAAAATAAAACAATATTATTTATAAAATTATTTTTTTAAATTTATAAATATATTTTGAATTGTGTCTTATTTTTATTACTTCACGTTCACGCTATTACTTTTTTATAATTTTCGTTATAAAGTATTTTTATATAATATTTTTTACAATTGAATATCTTTCAAATTATTTATCAAGAATACTTTCGCTACTAACAATTCTATTAATATTAGTAATAATATTGGTTATCTATGACGCTCTATTATTTATGACTTATCTCACAGAGTTAATTTATGAATTGACGGATTGTTTAATAATCATCTAAAAAATAAAATATCCCATTCCTGCACTTCCAATGCATAAGCAGCGGAACTTGATCGATCCTGCTATTATTATTATTTTTTATTTTTTTAGAGAGAATAAATAAAAAAATCTCATGATTAAAAATGAAAACCGATTAATTTACACTTGCCCAGGGATAAATCCATTTCGTTCGTGGTGCTCGCAAGAATTTCGAAACACGTACAAACAAGGTTTTTTAATTTGCGTCCCATTAATGCAGGTGCAAATGAAATTTCCCTCCGGCGGCGCGATCGGGGCGAGCGACGTAATTTCCCACTCGTGATTTATCCGGCGCAGGGTAAAGTTTTTGCCTGCTCTGCAGGGGCGGGATATAAAAACAGACGATTTCCTGGGGAGTGCGTTCGCAGTATTTTCCATGCAGGCGGAGAGCAAACGAGCTGCATCAAACGAGACTTTGCGCTTTTCGGCCCGGCTGCTATAAGACATCAGAGAATATCGATCTCTCGGGCGCAGAAAACGGGGCAGGTAAATAATCCTCGGTCCACGCGTGAGCCCACGCACACCTAAATCACCCTGGAGCTCGCACACTCGCGATAAAGGCTCGGGGCCGACCATGTTTGGATTGGGCCGGCCTGCGTCACAGCAGGGCATGTAAATAATTAATTCTTAAGTGCCTCCTCTGCCGCCGAGAGAAGTGTGTTTGCGCAAAAAATCAAGATGGCCCTCTTTTTGCTCCTTCCAATCGGCCTAATCCACACAAGCCCGCTGCGATTTTGATCCTTGACAAACAAAGCCAGCAGGGAAACAATTTAATCCTCCTTTCTTCTCACAAAAGGACGCAAAAAAATTGTATCAAACGTTTGTCTTAAAAGCGTCGATCTGAAATTGACTTTTTGCTGGGAGTGCTGATGAAGAGATAGGCGAGGACAAAGTTTTTGTGTCGCGGCAATCGCATTAAGGGATGAATTAATCCATTGTGCGCTGCATGTGTAAAGATTTCCAATCCGCAAAAGCCCGACCGCGATCTCAATTAGAGCCGAGAACTCACAATGGGCGCTTCTCTCTTTTTATTCGTTCTTTCTCTCTCCTGGGGATTGACAACGCGGCCCACCGAGTTTTTAATGACGTAAAGCCGCAAACACAAGAGGCTCTTCCTTTTTGAACCGGAAAAATAGACCGGCGGAGGAAAAAGGGAGAAATCACATCAAATATTTAGCGATCGCCGGCAGGGTCGGCGATTTTTCGCAACGACGATTTCCCTCTGCCATCCATCTCAAGAAGTGTCCCTTTTTCTTTTTCTCTTTATATTCGCAACGACGGCGTGCCATCGAGCCATTCGGCGCGCTCGATATGCAATATTCGGAGCCGCAGCGGCAAATTGAGTGGACAAACAATATATATTTTTGCCAACGAGCGCTCGCACGGACACAATGAGATTGCCTGGCAAACAAGAAACAAATTTGCCCTGCCCGAGTGGAGCACTTGGAACAGACAAAAGCGGCTCTCGGTTAATTCGATAAGGTCACCCCTGTTCTGAACCGCACCAAACACACGGCATTTTGCTTGTTTTCCACGGAATTTAGTGTAACGCGTTCAATGGAGGTGAGCAGATAAAGAAAAGGGCTAGTGACAATGGACACATTTTTTAAAGAGGACAAAGCTTTTTTGCAATGGATTTAATACGTTATTTTTCACATTATCAAGTATTTAAGATCTAAAAATACCATTCCGAGGGCTCAAGATGGATACAGTAGTGCTTAATACACTCAGAATGAAAAAGTAAAATTAAATGCCTAAAATGAGAAAAATGTGAAAATTAACAAAAATGGCAAAAATAGTAAAACTAAAAAAAAAGTTTTATAAAATAGTTAAAAATTAATATTAAATATTAAACTGTGTAACAAGTTTTGAACTACAATTAAGTCATAAAGTCACAACTTTAAATCGATTTTAAACACAATTAAGGCCATTTTAAGTGCTTAATTTTGTAAATTAATGATAAATAAGAACATTTGGCAGAAAATTAGTAAAAATTTGCCATCGCCGCAGTGATTAATTTTTTGGTTATAAAAATCCAAAAATTTTGACCCATTACTGCAGGAGAGGAAGGGGGTGTAGCTTAATTGGTAAAGTTGTAGACTTATGATCTATCGTTCCGGGTTCGAGTCCCGGCACCTCCAAGATTTTTGAAGGTTTCTTTATGTATGAATGGCAACTCTACATGGTTATATGATGTATTAATGTGATGAAATATTTTTCAGATATCCATTAACAAAATATTTCACAGAAAAATATTACCATAATTACATTAATAACAATAACCATGTATTCAAAAAATAAAGTGAGTTTTATGTGGTTTTGAACAAAATAAAGAAAATGAAAATGAAAATTGGATTAAATTGTGATGGAAAAAATTACCGTAACTATAAACTTCATACAATAACTTAAAAATAAAATAAAAATTATTGATGGAAATCAAATAATTCTTGTTTTTTTCTAAATTATAATTTTCTAATCACATTGTTAATTTTTTTTACTTTTGGTCATAATTCCACGAAAATTATTCATCATATATTATGGTTTGAACCATGTATGAGTCAGTACGTTGTCACACAATTTTACGAGCCTGTTCGAATTACGCACCTAATCCAACGCGTAAATCAGCCGGGGCATAGAAACTAGGCCTTAATTGTTCGGGCCAACATGCAATTTGGCAAAACGGCGTGTGCAGCCGGCCGGGCGCAAAGTGCGGCCGCAATTTCCGCGCTATTAATTAACACGTCTGCCGGCGCAGCAGCAGCATCTCATGTTAACGAGCGCGTGTTATGTTGCCAAAAATGAGCGGCCATAGCGAGAATAATAACACAGACTCCCTGCGGCGGACGTGCAGGCACGAATTATGGCGGACCGCTTCTTACACTTTTTCGCCGTGCAAGTTACACGTCGAGGGTTAAGAGTTTAAAAGATGGCCGCGCTGCACTTGACGTGGCGCGAGACACTCGAGTTGTAAGGAAGAGCTCGTATAATTTATCCGTCGACAGAAACTCGCACACACATAGAATAGGCGACGGCCACGCCTCCCGCACCTACCAAATTAAATCAGCGCGGCTAGGCCTCGCAGGCTTGATTACGCGGCGCCAAACTCGAAATGGGAAATTATCGCGGCGCAGGGCGAGATGAATTTGGCTGCGAGAGAGAGCGAGTTGGCTGCTGGCTCCACTCGTTCGTGAGCAATATTGAGAAATCGGATGGTGCAATCATTGCCTCCGCCAACGCTGCCGCCGCAACAACTGCTCTTTAAGTGTCGGTGATGCATGGAGACACTTTTAGCGCGATCGGTTATTGGAACTGTCGAGTGATTTTCCATTGACGAATGAGAAGAGCGCGTCATTTAAATTCAAATGCGTCCCTATAAAAGAGCCGAACAATACGCTCGCATTTATTTTTAGATTTATTTTCAGCATGGTGGAAAAAAAATTTTCTCTTTCTAAAAAAACAGAATTCAATCTCGAAAGGGCTTTGAAGTTACTTTTTGCCCAGATTTTTGTTTCGCATTTCATTCTACTCGCTTTAGACCCTTGCGTTGAATGTTATGATCCATTCTCGCACCCCCGAGCCCCTTCTGAAATTCCAAGTATGCAACCGGGCGAACTCTGGCATCGTGCGCGTTGCATAACGAGCCAATTGAGCAGGAGGCGGCGATTGAGTGCGTCGTCGATATTATTGGCCGCATTCCACGTCGCCGTCGGTGCAAAAACTAATGCCCTGATGACGGCTAACTTAGGCGCGCGCCCTTTTTGCGTTAGAATAAATCTGCACCCTTAATGTGTTTGGAAAACAAATCCCGCGGGCCGAATTTATGGATGGGACACGCCGGCGATGAAATCGAATTAAAATAATATCAGCGTGATCGACCGCCGCCGTTTGAAAAATGCATGAATTTCGCGGGCACATGTTTGGAATTAATCTCTGGCCGCGAACAAACATTTTGTGCCAGCGCGTGGAGGCGAATAAAACGCAAAAACCGCGCGCAATTTAATACCAATCGTCGGTGTAATCGACGTGATTTATGCCGGATCGTAAATTATTTTGCACAATATTCAGCGGCTTTTCATGTGCCAGCTTTAATTCGCAATGGATCACGAGCATGACGAGGCGTTTGTTTTATTTACCCCCGTCTTCTGCTCGCCCCAAAGGCCAGATGGTCTTGAGGACTGACTGACTGGCGTGGTTTTGAGTGACGAGCAGCTATATACACTCCCTCTGCACTTCACGGTCCGCTACCCCCGTATCTGCGCCAAGATAACGTTTGCCAGGCCCGACATCATCATCATCATCCCCTGTCATCGGGCCCGAAGTTCGCTTCTCTCAATGCTGATTAGCCGGTGATCCATTGTTTGAGATATCGCTCAAAATTCCGTCCCTCTTTCAATCCTCTCATCAGGCGAAAATCCACGTGCCACACTTTCCAAATTTAAGCAAATTTTTTCCTGTTGATAAAAGGAATTTCTCTCTCGCAAGGAGCTAAAAGCCTTCGGCAAATCCGTGTGTGCCAGTCAAGAGGCTGTTTTGGCGCAAAATCCATATTTATCGGGCCCGGGGCAAATAAATTGCTGCTGCCGAGGCGATTTTCACGAAGCGCGCAGGGTCAAAGCAACATCAATTTATTCGGCCCGCTTTAATTAAATTCTGTTTGCCTTTAATTTTGCGTCACAGCACGCGACATTTACTCGGCCGCGTAATCTGTATCTGGTCTTTTTTAATATTAAAAATTCTTGCCACCGCAGGCCGAAAATTATATAATGTACATTTTTCCGATGTTTGTGTCGCGAAAATTACACACTGCGGCCCTACTAATTGAATCTGTCCCCTCTGTAACACGACCCGCTCGTTCTCTGGCTCTGTTCCTGGCTCGGGCGGACGGGCTGCTCATGAAAGTTTGTCACTTTCAGTGCTGACTGGTGTGCAGTTGAGTTTCTGTATCGATGTAAAAGCCAGCCGGGAGAGAGCTGGAGAGACAAGAGTGCAGCGGTCAGCAAAAACAAGAGCCGCCCGTCCTGCGGACCCCTCTTGACTGAAATAATTGAAAAAGAGATCGTGAGCAACTTGGCGTGGGGGCGAGAACAACCGACTATTTCTGCTTGTCAAAGTTTTGATCCAAACTCCATAAGCTTCCAGCAAAATGAAATAATTATATCAAGTGATAGCCGATTGTGTTTTACAATTAATCTCCCTTTTAGTAATATTACTAACAATAAATTAAAATGTAAATTAAATAATATTTTAAATATTATTTCAAAAATTCTGCGCAATATACAAGATAAAATAATCAAAAATGTAAATTATTATTATCTCAATTGATTTCTTTTATTCAATTAAAAATTAACATTTATTCAGTAAGATCCAAGTGAGGAGCTACAACACATTTGTACATCATCAAAACACAACTTTTCACTCAACAGTTCATAAAAAAACATAATGTTTTGTTACAACTGTGCATGAGAAGAAGCCACCAATCATTAAAACCATGTGAGAGATGCCTTAAACGGCGCCATTTGCACTGTCAGCAAGCGTCATTAAGGCTAATTGCGTCGGTTTTAGAAAAAGTTGAGACCGCAGATTGTATGTTGGTGCGCGGCTCGGCAGCCGAGGGTGAAATCCCTGTTAACACCCCGCCGGGTGACTTATTTGCCTGCTGGTCTCGACAATAAAACGCTCAAACGCCGTCTTAATTGAGGCAGCAGATGAATCGTTTTAATTATTCACAGTGGAGAACCTAATTTATTTAAGGCGCGCAATTTGTTGCAGCAGGAGAGGCCGCCCGAGAAGCTCCGAGACCCGAACGAACAACAGCCCACTGCCGGTAAGTCTATTCTCTATCTGCATATATTTGCTCTGCTCTCTTCCGTCGACGGATTTCCACCGTTTTCCGCCTTTAAATTAGCGAAATTCGTGTGTTAGTTTATTTTAATTAAACGAGTGTTGCCACATTTAATCTGGGCATGAGGAAGACGGAAATAAGTGCTCATCAAATTAGTCTTGAGATTCAAATTATCTTCCAAATCGCACCGGTGTGTGTTTAGAAACGGAATAAGAAGTGTTTGTTTTGCCGCGAATAATTGAAGCAATTCTACGAACGCACTTGTTTTCTTTAGATTATCACGCTGTTCCTGAATTGAATTTTCTGAGCGTTCACCTCTAAAGAAAATAATCATTCAGATTAAATGGTTTTTATGCTATTTTTTCAACGGAACTAACGTAGTTATCAGATAAAAGGATTAATGTCTAAATTTCTTTTTATTTGATTTAAATACATAATTGCTTTTCTGAATAAATATTACGAGGCGTTTATTTAATAGAATATAATTATGCCATATCTCTTTTCCGCACTCACCCAGCCAGATTTAAATTGTTCTCCCTCTCGCGTAGTCGCAGCGGGCTTTCGTGAAATTAGCTTTTGTCCACGGTCTAATTTATTGGATTAATTTTGCGACTCGACTCTATTACGCGATGAATTAATAAAGTTTCCAGCACTCCGGCGCGCCGACTGAACCATCACCGTTGAGGCGGCGACGGCGGCGGCATTCAAAATGAAACTCGTCGCACTTTAAATAAAGTTTTTCTCTCATTCCGCCCTCTGAAACAATGTGAAAATCCCGCAGCAAAGCGGGGTGGCGAACGCTTTCACTCTCGGCAGCAGTCACTCTCTTTCTCACTCGGCGGCAACTCTCGAACCTGATTTCATCTTCTTCTCCTCCTTCCTCCACCGCTTTTTATTTCCCTACAAAGCCATCAAAGTTGTGGTGTGCTCGTCGGATTTGAGCATGTCAAAGCCTATAAAATATCATTCGGAGAAAACACTTTTGACGCGCGCATTTATTCCTCGCCAAACTTTTGTGTGCCAAAGAAAAAAGGGGCCCAAGAAAGAAAGACCTTTTTTATTATTGTGCTCGCCGGGCCGATGCAGAGGCAGCGGAATTTTAAATAATTAATGCCGCGCGCGCTCTGTGTTCTTAATAAAGCTTTCTAAATTCATGGGCATTGACACTGGTATTAGCTGATCGTATCTCGGGCATGAATACTGAAAGCCAGATCTGCGCCCACTGATAGCCGCCCGTAACCTCCACTCGTTGCGGTTGCTGCGCCTCTTTTCGCGTCCTCCTCGTCCACACATTTGTGTGCACCGTGTCCGATTTCTGCAAACAAATGCGTCCATCTTTCTCTCGATGTGGCCTCGCTGCTTATTATTAATGGCCTCGGACGCAAACACGTACGCGGGCGGCCTAAGTGCACGCCGAGATGCTTTATCTGGACTTGAAAGATCATCCCTACGTGTGAGACCTGCCTCCAGAGCACTTCTGTGACACACATTCTGTAGTGCCGGGCCGTAGATAGATAAAAAAAAACTAGCGTATAATGCAGCTAGGGGCCCATGTTCAACGGTCGCGTCAACCGTGACTGCTGGACCGACGCGTGAGAGAAAGACGCCTAATGTCATTGTTTTGCGAGCACTCTCGGCCGATGGAATTTCCTTTGAAGCATCACGCTAAAAACTGCAAAAGAGAATATGACGCGTTTTAATCACGATAAAACGTTCCAAAGCTGCTGGATTGACGGCTTTATTCTGTATTTGAGAAAACAAACCGCTGAATGTAAAAGTTTCCCATTGTGTTATTTGCATTCAAAACGAAATAAATGGAGGAATATCTGCTGGACAATAGACACGCTGCAGTGCGGCTTTTAAACAAACTTGAACGATTTGCAAAATCAATGGGGGCGATTTACACTGTACTTCAGGATTTGCAGTTTTCAACAAAGGATTGCAACGTTCTTAGTATAACTTTAGTGAATTAATCAAGTAGATCAAAGGAATTAAAGGGAAAAAGGCATTCAAATTAAATATTTAATCCATTGTCAGAAAAAGCTAACCCAATTTATTCAAAGTCTTCGCGTTTACCTCTAAACTTATTATTTGTGGTTTTCCGTTTTCGTGGAAATCAGGGCATGGGAAGTTCCACGCCAGCTGTTTCCTGGTCGAGTAACTTTCGTGATCAGGAAATCATTAAAACTCGTGCTATTATTTTTTGGCAAACATGTGTGTGTCAGCAGCGCTGGATACATCAGAGACACAGGCTCGGATTTCATCCATTATTCGACTGTCTCGGCCCGACGGAATGTAAAAAGAGCGGTCATCGAGCTGCCGGCGGCGGCGAACAGAACAATGTATCGCGTTTCTGTGCGCCGTGATTCGCTCAAATTCCCCCTGCATATCGGGTATCGGCGAACAAAAATCCAAAAGGAATGTCTATCAGTTGCACATTTGACGTCGCTTGATACTTTTGTTTGATTTAATGGCGCAGTTTTCCATTTTCTTGTTCCTGCCCGAGCTAGCTCGCCTGCCCCAGCAGACTTGCAAGGCGCGTTTAATGTAAAACGTATATTCCGCCGCATGTGATATGCGTGACCGGCGCCGATTCCGTGTTCATCGCTAATACCCTGCATGTCAGCGAATTACTGTTATTTATTCAAACCAATATAATATTATCATATAAAAGCCAGAAATAAACTTTCAGTCGACTCGCGCGCGCATATGCATATGTATCAGCCAACGGCGGGTTGAAATTAAGCGAGGGGGAAATTTGCCGTGTCCGAATGAAAACAGAGCTTTTTTGTATTATTTCATTAATCCAATGCAAACATTAAGTAGAGCAGCTCACATTATTATGTTTTGCTCGCGTTCAATTAATAATTTCAGCTAAAATTTCATTCGCTGTGGATTTTGCTCATTTCTTTTCTCTCAACTATAAATCTAACGAAAGTATTAAAAATATTTCAATTTAAATTTTTTTTACTGATATTGAAGTATTTAAAATGGAAACTAATCCCCTCATTAAAAATATTTTTTGTTGTTAATTTAAAACTATTTTCCACAACCCAAATGGCAGCTCGTCCATAGGGACCATTTGGCCGGTGTTAGCTGTTCACTGCATGCTCGCGCGGTAATTGATAAGTTATTCGTGCAGGCCGCGGATTTAATTAATTCCACGCCGCTCGTCCGCATTTTAATTGTTGTTTTATGCGAGAGTTCGACACGGCGTCGTTGGCGGCGGAGTCACGACCCTACCACATGCAAACTAACGCACATGTGATGATGCAGTGTCAAGTGTACGCCGCCCTCTAAACAGATAAAATGTATTCATCATCAGCCCCTTGGTGGCAGTCATTTTTCGGCTGTGCGCGCGTGAAACACTCGTGTCGGCGACGCTCCCGCTGGTGTGCTGCTGCTCCTGGTGCGCTCGGATTCTCAACTCTCTCGTGCGGTAAACTGACTGCACGTCTTCTTTTCCCGACCATTTTTCTTCCTAATACTTTTACGAGTCTGCTGGGAGAATTTATCATGTTACCATCGAGAAATTTGTAAAGCAGAGAAAAATGAAATTTATGGAAATTTTTTGAATCCTCTCTCGGCAAAAATTCCGCACGCTGTTTTTCAGTGAATTTTCTAACGTTGAACGAACTTGAAATTGAAAACTTTCCCACTTTTTACGGCTGTCAAGTGGACTTTTCGTTATGATCATTTAGCATGGAATTAAATTCCGAAGTTTTTCTGGTATCTCGGAAAAGCTGTATTCAAATTTTGACCCTCTTTTACGGCTGCCGCATAGATATGAAATTAACATAAATCAGCATTCGCCGTCGCTGTTGGAAAAATTATCTCGCGAGCAGCAGCCGCCACTTTTAACGACTCTTTCGCTCTCCATCGGCAAGAAATCCGCGGCATTAATTAATTCAAATCTCTCTTTCGTTTGGGACAAATATTTATTTCGAGTCGCGGCTCCATGCAGCGGCGAGAGAGAAAGAAAGCGAGCAAAAGAGTACGAGTCGTCAAACGCGTTTGAATAATTCATGAGTCACCGCCGAATGCTGCATTCCGCCGACAGTGACTCCCGCTTGAGTGGAGGCATTTATTCCCGATGGCAATGTGCGCACGATGCGACGACGAGAGTCCGTAGTGCAGTTTATTGAGTCGTTAACCAGTGCCGTTTGTTTGAACGGCTCTTGCTGCCGCGAGAGAGCAAATAAAATAATCATCCTCAGCCATCAGCACGACTTTAAATTCACGAACCCACTCGGAATTCTTTGGCGCCGAATTGCTGACACAATGAGGGGCCGCTGGAATTTTTTCACAATTTTATCTGGCAAATTCAACAGCTGCGCTGCATTATTATCCGGATCATCTGAGATTTTGCTCAACCTCTGCTGTTATGCGCCGACAATTGAGGTCAAAATAATGGAATGCTAATTAGCAGAAAACACGAGAGCAACCCTTTTTACCCCAGAAGTAGTGCAGCTGCATAATGACTCTGGGTGCTGTTTGCCTCCGTAACGGCTTCAGAGAGAAAAGTTCCCTTTATTTGATCTTTTTAGTATTCATCATCTGCTTCTCTGTGCATGTGTTCTGCCTTTTACCATTTATGATAATTACGCCTGTTCCCTCAGTTACCACGAATCACTTCTTTTTTGATAAATGTTAAAAAATTTTAAAATGATTTACTTTATTTATTTCAAAAAATATTTGAAAAGCCAATTTTTTTTTATCAAAAATAAAGATTTTTACTTTTAATCATTGGCAATAAAATTTCACTTATTTCCATAACCCAATTTTTTCTACTTCTTTAGCACGCGAGGGATGAAAATAGGTCATTTGTTTGCTGTCCCAACCCTAGCTTTGCCTTTCTCACTCTCTCTGCATCGGTGTGCAGCACTCAAGTGGAAAGATAAAAAGCGCTGCACGACGGGGTGATAATTTATTTACAATACCTCAAATGAAACGCCCTCGCGGCGATGCTAAACCGATTAGAA